AAAATTGGGGTGGGGACTGTCAGGAGGCCAAATCAATACTTTTAATGTTTAATTTTCCTTTAAATCCATTAAATAATCTGTTTTATTTCCTATTTACCTTTATCTTATTTATTTCGTTAATTAACCTTAACATGGTGCCCTAAAACTTTTCCACAGTACTGTATCTATCAGTATCTCTCAAAAGGTCAAATAACATCAAATAAATCGTTATCGAGAAAGTTTCACGAATAAGGAAAGTCCAACAGCCGATAACATTTTCCGATACAAAACAATATTGAGACCCTATTCCAGCGAAACGTATAACGAAAGAAGAAATACCTACTCGAATAACTGTTAGTTAAACAGCTTCCCGCGCTTTGAATGCAACTCTCGCATTACGTCGGCGTCGTAGAGTCGCGGCTGTTTAGCAAACTTCCAAGAAGGTACAAAAAGTTCTTTGTCCGCATGCACTACGGTTACATTACGCTAAGTATTTTAGCAAACGAGTAATTATTATGTATCCTTTAAAGCGTACTTAACGTTACTTCGCAAAGTTCCAGGGCGTAATTCGGTTCCATAATCATTCCTGTCCGCGTAATGTTAAAGTTCTAAGCTCGCGCAATAGATGGGAAAACAGATGGAAAAAAAAAAAACAACAGTTCGCGATCCTTTAATCTTTGCGAATCCTTTCCGTGGTCTTTAACAATGAGTATTCATAGGAAATTTAACGAGGCAATGTAAAGTACCGTTTTTCTGGCATAATGCCAGTGGCACTCGGTGAAATTGCGCTGATAAAAGAAATCCCCCTGTTATCAAGATGTAGTAATACTACTGAACAGAAACCACTTTCCTCGCAATCGTGTCTCAAAGCTCAAGAACGGTTCCATTTTCACGTATTCCAAGCAGCTGCACGTTTGGTTGACAAAAATCGAAAAATTATTTAAATGATAATTGTGGACATTATTGAAATGTCAGGACACAGTTTCATCTCTGGAAAGCACGTGTTATCGAACGAATAGGTAAATCATGTTTGAGCATGGTCATTTTTTTTAACTCAGAACTTATAAATGTTTCCTATTTATTGCTTAGATATACGGTCATTTACAAAAGTATCTGCCCTCCCTTTAGGTATGGATAACGTGTTTTATATATTTAATCAATTTTAAAAATGCAGTAACTGATTCTAATATATAATGTATTTATTCTATACTACTATTATAAAGAAGAAAAGTTTGCTTGCTTGTATGTAGGGGGTAATTTCCGGAACTACTGAACCGATTTTTAAAATTTGTTCAGTGAGAGAAAACTACACTGTCCCTGAGATTTTCTGAAATGTTTGCATGTAAATGAATTTCACATTGAACGACAACACTTTGCAAAACCATCATTCGACTATTCCTTTCATTTTCAAAATGTGTAAGTATCTTAAAAGAAGAAACATTTTCAGCCCTCCAGTGTGAGGGCTTTTTTTAATAAATTTTCTTTACGATTTATTTACCACATAAATCTCATAAAAATTGACGTTTTCGGCTTTGATACGTTCTCTTATCAGTTTGATGTATTTGAAATGGAACCGGAGCCATTTTTACAACGGATTGCACATTTTTCGTGTTCAACCGAAATTCTGAGTCAAAAATTCTGATTTTGTTGATTAATGAATTTCCAAGTAAAAAATCTGAAAATGTGGCAGAACTTCTTATTACTAGTAGGACAGTTTTAAATAGCAATAAGTAGACTACGAGTTTTTATTGGAAATTCATATTTTTACAGATTCAGAGGAACAATTGAGATTGAAATGAAAGTATGTATTATCTTCTAGACAGCGTAACGTGTATTTTACATTTATGCACATCCTCATGTATTTTCCCATTTTCTATTATTCCTATTGCGTGTTGTGATATTAAATCAGAAATTTGGAAATGATTTCACGAAATTTGTCAAATTTTAATTACTGCTATTATTTTCAGCAAGTGATTTTTAATCATTTGAAATTCGTAATTAAATCTCGATTTTTATCAATAATTCTACCATTCGGTGGTACTGCGCGTCTGCTGATTTTTTGGAATGGAAGCACAACGTCGTAACCGTTACCAACGATAAGTGGCAATAGGTGATTTCCCACAGCACTACAATGTTTTCTCCTCTGGCACTACCAACGACCGAAACCAAGTCTGTGTATCAATGGCTTGCAGAGGTTGCTATCGAATTTCAATTAATTTTTACCGTTTCCACGCCCCATCGCAAGATATTCCACTTATCAGTAACGGAACTTGAAATGAAAATGATGTTTAGATAATCCATAAGCTCTGAACACGCACAGTTCTAGAAATAAAATACGATTTTTCAACACGCCAATTCTATATTTATTTACCAATCTCGGCATCAATACAGATGGTTGTGAACGAGTTCATGGATGGATAGGTAAAATTAATTTTACGTTTTGCAGAAATATAATAAATGAGAAAAGTTGGCAACTGTGGCGTAATGCATTTGTTAGAAAAAGTTTCTTCCATACGAGAGGTGCTTTCTATAAAAAAGAAACAAGTCTATTAATAAAACAGGAGAAACATGCCTCAACATTTCAAAGAGACAGTATGAATTCAAAATAATTCCACTAACTATACAACAACTTTCAAACAAAGATTCAACCTCGTCAGGGACGATTTTTTGTTATTATCAAATTTTTGTTCTAGCCCTATCATTCTTAAAATTATATCTGCCTCTCTAAAGTTTAGTATTATATCTATCAGCTTAGCTTAATTGTATCATAACTTCGGTATTCACCCAATTCCCTTGATCAATTAAATTTTATTTTCGCGATTCAGTAATTTTATCGACGTATATTATAAATATTTGGGTAAACATTGGACGATTCGTGCAAACAAAAGCTAAGTCCACGGTAAAATACAGTATCACCTTTATTATCCAAAAAGCGTCCAACCAAACATTCGATTATCCAAGCATCGAAAAGATTGAAAGAATTCAGGAATGGTACAACAGAATTGAAGAAACAAGTATAATTAAAGATGGTTCTAAAAATAACGTCTCCAATTAGTCTGAAGCATTCGTTACCTTAGGAACAGTCTCAAGATGAAACGAATCTCAGCAAAAAAACTGCAATGAAAGAGCTATTATTATTTCTTTATAAAAAAAAAAAAATATTCAAACCCACAGGTCAGAAAGGCTGTGAATATGGCGAATGAAGAAATGCGCTAAATTATTGAGATAATTTTCCTCTCGTTTCAATTTACCCAGAGAATGATATGTAATAAACAACTGCAATTTATTTTTTTAAGGTAATTTGTATATCCTGTCTTGAGGATAATGGAGGTTCTACTCATCGTGCCAGGTATTAATAATAGTTAGTCGTGAAACGACCAAGCTATGATAAAAGTAATACAAATATTCTGGAATATGAGTGCACAATATCGCTAAAAACTACTAAAGTTAAACAAGTAGGTGATTAATACAAGTATCACTATGTGGAATTATATTATTTAAAGTAATGCTAATTCCGAATGCCCGTGTTATAATTTGGTTTCTTAATTCACCAACATCAATTGTAATTTTATTTCGCGCATAAAATATTGCTCGAAGCACATTATGTCTCCGGCGTCAGGCGTACACAAAATGCGCGTAGTACTTTCAACTAATGAATTCTCTGATTATGCTAAAACTAACACCAAGGTGGAATTTCAAAAATGAAGTGGTATTTACTCATTCTCCTAGAGTTTCCATATTTTTAATTTTAGCGTCGTTACGCAAACCCTGCTAAATCATATTGTTTCATAATTTCTACATGTTGGTGGAAACAAAGTTGAGACTAATTAAAAGTACAGCACAAATCAGTTTCGTGCAGCATTCGTCATCGGTATCGACTCGTCAATTGACATTGAAAAATACTCGAATCGCTTTTTTGCTTCGGTAAACGAAATTTGTGGCGACTAAATTTCATGTGCTGATTTAAGAGTGAAATGAGACCTAACCCTCTATGAATCAAATTATTGTTTCTGCAATATTGAGACTAATTATCAAACGCATTGTACAATTAAGAGGTACGTATACTTCATCTTATGAAAAACTAGAATTATTTGACGAAACATCGATATATTAAATCAAATTATGCAAATCATTTTATTTTATACATTACACATTTACAACATTGATATTTCGAAACATATTTTTTCATTTTTATCTTCGCCCCAACGATACAAATTTCTGATGTCCAGCTTCGGAACGCGTTAACATCAATTCATGCTCGTCAGGTTGTCAATTGTTAGTCGTTTTTTCGACATTTTTAATCTAAACTTTGTTGAAATATTAAATTTAATCATAAAGTTTATATTCCAAAAAAAGGTTACTCTTTGTACCTAACATCCATTCCTGCTTTTTAAATTATTATTATTTACTTTTATTTTTCTCTACCTAACATTCGAAAGGAAACGTTTAATTTCGTTCGATGTGTTGAAGGATCGAGCGTCGAATCTATCTTTGAGAAGTGGTATCGTATCGCGGTTGAACTAGTGCGCTCGAACGACAAATGTCTTAACATTTTCGGAATTTTTAGGTTTCGGGAATGTCCCATTCGAGAGTGACTCCAACATACCAGACATATCGCATAGCAGTCCGGAAGCAATGTAACGAATTCCCAAGGTGCACGAGGCAAAACGAACGGTAGAAGTGCTTCGAATAAAATGTATCACCTTCGAATGCAGAGATTAAAATGTATCGATCGCAGATTTACACAGGTTCTCGGCTCACACGTTCGCGAGCTTTACTGCGAGCTCCTGACAACGGTGCTGGTATAATGATCCATCACAGACGGACTTATCCTCGAAGTGCCAACAACCGTGAAACGAAAAAGGGATGTTCTGTGCACGAATCGCCGCATATAATTGCGATGTTCTTGAAAACTCATTTCCCTTGAAATAGAACGCGACCGTTCGTGCGTGAAAAAAAGGAAGTGACGCTCCCTTTGATCGTAGTCGCGAATTTCTTCGTCCATCCGCACATGTACGTACCTAATTCGTGTTCCTCTGCTCCGGCTCGTTTGCAGTTCTCATCGGTCTCGTAATTCTTCATGCACACACTCAACTATCCAGCGTAGATACTGTTTATTTCGTTTATTTCAATGCTCAACATTCGACACCGATCAACATTCGCGACTACCAAACTTACATTCGCTGTTGATACGAATCGATGGATCCATAGGTATGTTTAATTTCATTCGATTTAATGATATCTCTCTTCACTCTACAATCGCTAGAAAAGTACATTTTCATACGAGACATCCGTCTCTTGATTTATTCCCAAGCTTCAAGTTCGCGTTTATTTTATTTTAAACATCGTCTTTCTTTTAAACTTTCACGAATTTTACGCAACTATCTGCTACCGAATTCAATTTTAATACATTAATTTTAATATATTAATATAAATTTTCATACAAGTCATCCGTCGTTCGACTTATCCTGAAACTTTAACTTTGTGTTTATTTTATTACAAACATCGTCCTTTTTTAAACTTACACGAATGTTACGTGACTATCTGCTACCGAATTCAATTTTAATATATTATACTTCAACGTCTCACGGGGTACATCCCGGTGTTGAGTTGATAGTTCGTTCGCCACTATACCGGCGATTCACTTTTTCATTTTTTTTTTTTTTTTTCATTCCATGACACGAACACTGTACGAAATTTGTTCAGTGCGTTACGGAGAGCGTCTTTCTCCCGATTCGCGTTTGGAATGCAGAGGGCACCGAAGAGATCGTCACGTTTAATCGTCACTAGGAACGGGTAGGTTGGAGCCGTGTTTTCGGCACGGCGATCGCGCGCGTACTGAAAATCCCAGTAACCACCCCCCATCGACCCTCTCTCCCTAACCGCCCCGTTCTAATACAGACAACACTGTGGCCGCACACACGCTATCCTACAGGGATCTAAGTTACGCGCGTAGAGTGCATCCGTTCGCACATTCGCACCGATGGAACCTGAACTTCCACGAAATTTGTCGTCTTATCAGAGACGCAAGAACTCTTCGTTTCGCAATGGCAGCGGTTAAATTCGCGATTGTTAGCCACCGCGGAAGATTTTCGTTTGCGCGGGAAACACTTTTCGATTAAGGAAAACGACTCGACGCATTTTCCAGAGATACCTAATTGTTTCTTAACATACGTCTATTGAAGCGTCTGAGTTATGCACAGACGGTTATAACAATGATTAACAAAAAGATCTTCAACTCATTCACTGGCAACGAGATGTCTCGTAACTCAAATTCATTGTAATTACTTGTGGCTACGATGAGCTAGCCGCCACATCGTCTTCCTTGTGTTTAGATTTTGTAAGTGGTGTGTCTGGACGAACGAACCGAGGTGCGTGCTGCGCGACTACGATGAGTGATGTACTGTTTAGATTATAATGTTCGAATGTCGTGAGAATGTTTTTTTCGGTTGGTTCGAATGTTACTAAGAGTGAATGCATTTGTTTAAACAGAGTGAAAGAGGTGCGTGAATTGAAGTGAGAAAGGTTTTCGTGGCTATGCTTGGGAGAACGAATGGCTAGTTCGTAAGTTAGCTCGGTAGAGGATCTCGACAAGGGCAGATCGCGGGATACGCGTCTGCCGAAGTAAAGTTCCCATCTTTTGTTATTAACTGAGTCGCAATTAATCCGTCACCTTACCCACATAACGGATAAGTTTCTAGCAAAAGGAGACCGTAAATTTTCTTTTTAGAAATACAAATTTAACACATTTCCGTCACTTCGAATTCTATTCCTGGTTATACTATTATACGTATTTACAACGTTGATATTTGAAAACATTTTTAGTTTAATTCTTACCTTCGCTCTAACGATACAAATTCGCGATGTCCAGCTTCAGAATTTTATCATTTCCGTCAGTACTGTTTGACGTGTCACATCTCAAATCGTCTCGCATCAAAGTGTAACTAACTGTACACAGAACTTTAATATTGGAAGAAGAAGAAGTTGTAAGAACTCATTTTTATTGGATACTGTTGGAAGACAAATAATTGACGGTAAATTGCCTTGGAATGAAAAAGTTTTGGGAATGCTTTTTTTTATAACCCGCGGAAGATGAAATTGCTTCTTCAGCTCCACGCTAACATCTTCAACTTTCGTAGGGTATGAACGATTACAAGGATATCGATAAAGCTATACCTAAATGATGGAGCAACGAAATTTATTTTGTTGATATTTATGTTATTTAGTACACGACATACCGATTCATGCTTTTTAAATAGTAAAATTTCAATTGATATCGAAAACTCATGAATTGCATTCCTAATAATGATTCGCCCCAATAAGCATTACTGGGTACTCCGAGCAAACGTATTTTGTTATTAAAAAATAAAGTCTTAAAACTCCTTTCCGAAAACTTATTATAAACTGTGTACTGTATTAACTGTGTACTGTGTGCTGATACAGACCACATTGACATTTTGCAAATTCCTTCCATTTTGTTAATTTCTTTAACGTGAATACATTCATTTCTCAATTGTTGTGCCACGCTGTAGGAACTTTTTCAAATTAAACGAAACAAAGGTGCATTCTCTCGACGCTAGAGAATGAATATCATACAGCTGGGACGCATTTGTATAATATGAAAGAAAGAAAATAAAAACGACTCGGGGTTGGCGAGTACGTTCAGTTCTTATTACTAGATTCAGTATATAAATATAATTTAACGATGATACACAAAATATGACTATAAATCGATAAAAACAATATTATCGCTCGTGTCAGTTTCGTCTAAATGGTTAGCGATAGATTAATCAAATTTTATATCGAAGGTGGTGAGGTGAATAAAATATATGAAAAAGTTTATGTATGACTGTGTGTTAACCATATACAAGAATGTAGGTAGATGTTTTATATTTATGCGATGTACGAATTGTGGAATGTATTGGAAGGGAGAATCGGATAGAATTTAGCGGGTAAGTGTAGGGTTATTGATTTGTATTATGAATGAGTATAGAGGGACGAATGAATGAACGCGTTTGTAATAAATTGTGTTCAATAAAGGAGAAATACTTTGAGGAAGAATTTCGATATTTCACAGAAATTTACGGCATTACTATGCAGTGATACTTGCAATAATCAAAGTTACCGATCCAATCTGTAATAGCTCTGTATTTTATGTCTCCACTATTACTCTTCGACCTTACTTGTTGCTTAGCGACCATCTGTTCGTCGATACTATTCAATGAAACGAGTCTCCCGTGCAATAATCGAGATTGCGATAATCGAGGTTTTACTCTATGTACTGATTAAACATCAGTATCTTCAAGTACAAACACGGATGTCTACCTAGACGAAGTGTCTTGTAAACAAAATTAGTCGACACTATTCACATTCCCCTTTCACGTGGCATTATATTCTCCACAACCTGTGAATCGTATTTCCAGCTCCGAGCAAATGAGAAGCACTGATAGCAAGCGAGCAGTTTCAGGAAGTGGCAAGGATGCCTCCGCGGCAGCTAACGAGCCAGAAATCGTGACAGCTAATGAGGCAATGAGAGAATCTCATATAAGACTGTTACAGCCTATGTTAAATTAAAACTCTTTTGAACCTTAGGTACTTTGCGCGCGCTATGTCGTCCGCGGTCGTATCAAAATCAAATAATTCCCCTTCGATGGGATCGAGGAATTAGTCCCACCCGTTTAGCTTTCTTTATCATTCCGTCTATTGTCTCTTCAAGATTCTCTCATCCAAACACGGACATAGATTACTTTCCGAAGTGATAAAAGTGATTCGCAATATTGATTCTGTAGTATCGCGCTCTCTATACTCAAGAATAAGGAATCAAACAAGAACATTAATCATAGGGTGCAGGATCGGTCGTGTAGAAAAACGATCGACTATGGATTCGAGGATCGTGGGTTTGAATCTCCGTGCATTATTTTTCGTTTAGGCTGCCACGATTCTCGTTTGAAGAAGCAGCTTTTTTAAATTAAATAACAAATTGAGTCTAACATTTAGTGCACGATCCTTGCCGAAGAAATACATGCATTAGAATATTTAATAGTAGTCATTGTTGATATTTCACGTTGTAGAAATTCGTGATGTAGAACTCGTTAAACGTTGTTTACTGTATCACAAAAATGCAGAAGCATATAACGACGGGCTTAACCCTCGGCAGAATAAACTTTGTTACTCTTCCGCAAAGTATGCTGGGGATATTAATTTTATCAGGACGCGTACTTGCATAAGTATAATATTGAAATTTCTAATTGAACATCTTTAATATTATCGAACAGGAAGTATATTAGCAATTCAGCCCGTCGCTTCATTTGAATCAGCGCCAGCAATACCTTAGCGTACATGTATATTTCATGGATATTCCGTCTGCGATATTCTCATCGTCGTGAAGCACGCTGGAAGACTTTATTTTCAAGAAATCCTACACGCCCACCAAATTATCGAAAAATGAACGAGACTTTCTTGAATGTTTTCGGATACTTGGAAAATGGCTTGCGTTTCATTAAACTTCCAAGATGCTTTAATGGATCCAGGGAACATTTTACGAATTCCTTTTCCTTTACTTTAGGAAATGCTATGGTCGCGACCGAAACAATTCTCCACGAAGTTAGACTATGGGAACGCGAATCAATGAACCATACCATCGGATCAATCCGTAAGAGAGGCGTCGTTCGTTTAAATTCTGTTCAATTTCTTTCTAATGCTTGTGGTTCTTTGATTTCAGCCAATTTAACGAGAATATTATGGTGAGCTGGAAGGAGTTTGCTTGGATGAAATTGAAATCTAGTTTTCTTAATTATTATTATTAATTTTATTATTTTTTAAAAATTGTTATTAAAAAAGAGTTGTTCCAAAAGTTTCGTTCGTTTTATTAGTAAGTAATACAGACACAATATTTTACGTTTTCCATTTTGCACTATTACTTTCCTTCATCTCTTTAGAAGCACCATAATCCCATCTTTCCAAAACTTGTGTGATTTGTTAGTAAAAGATCGTGGGTTTGAATCCCTTGCCTTATTAATCGTAGAGACATCTGCAATATTCGTGACAATTTTATGTTGGCCTAAACGTATAGTACAAAACATTGGTCAATGTACAATTGATCAGCAATATCCACCGTATCCCCTTATGCAATTTTATTTTCCGAAAAATGAGTTTTACCAGCAATCTGCCACACTGTGCATCTATGTTAATCCATATTTCATTATTTCTCGGAAAATGGAAAACCGTGAGGATCGCTTTAAACTCCGCGGGATACGCGTTCATAACGAAAATTCAAGGACCAAGCAGAGCGAGTTTCCTGCGTCCTGTATACCACGTGTAAGAGTATATGTAAAATTTGGAGGTTCTACTTTTTTAATTGAAAATATCCGCAGCGAATCGAAACTTTTGAAGGGGTCTCAATTGCAAAAATGGAAAATTTTTGTAATACTTGAGATACGTTGCAACTTAGTTTAACATTTTCGTTTGCAACCAACTACTGAATGGACACCATTTAATGGATGTACAATATATTACATATATGCAGATCTTATTCGTTACGCATAAAAATCAATGCGTACTTATTGTCAATGAGATACGTTAGAAATATAAATTTGTAATTGTTATACATCCAAATTAGCAATGACAATATAGGTGATATGCCGACGAATTTAACGTTCTTTTGCATTTTAATCGTTAGTTTTAATTTTATTTTATTCTGCTTATTTCTATTCAATAAATACTAACCAACCGACATATGTACCAATGAA